TTAAGTTATGAGATATATACATATATCTCACAGATACATATTGAAGATATTGATATATAATAGATATATACTTATCAGATGTAATTAATTCAACAATGAAAGCAATGTTTTGTTCTAGACAGTGCATCTAAGTATTAGGGATATGAAGATGAGTAAGATATACACTATGATAATTAGAGCTTCCCATGTGGCACTGGGAAAAAGCTGGCTTAACACTCAACATTCAAAAAACTAAGATCATGGCATCCAGTCCCATCACTTCATAGCAAATAGGCGAGGAAACAGTGGAAACAGTGACAGGCTTTATTTTCTTGGGCTCCAAAATTACTGCAGATGGTAACTGCAGCCATGAAATTAAAAGACGCTTGCCCCTTGGAAGAAAAGCTGTGACAAACCTAGACAGTGTATCAAAAAGCAGAGACATTACTTTGGTGACAAAGATCCATCATGTCAAAGCTATGGTTTTTCCAGTAGTCATGTATGGGTGTGAGAGTTGGACCATAAAGAAGGCTGAGAGTCAAAGAACTGATGCTTTTGAACTGTGGTGTTTGAGAAGACTTTTGAGAATCCTTTGGTCTGCAAGGAAATCAAGCCAGTCCATCCTGAAGGAAATCAGTCCTGAATATTCATTAGAAGGACTGCTACTGATGTTGAAGCTCCAGTACTTTGGAATATTCTATGAGTGATGGAAAGCAGCTGTTTCCTGTTTCCACTAAGGACTGGATAAGAAAGAATGGAGTTAAATTGCAACAAGTGGGTTTAAGAACTCCTTGGCCATAAAGTTCAAGACAACAAACCCACAAGACCAAAGTCATTTCTCTGTTTCAGAATTTGGTAGCTCACTGACTGTCTTTCTTGGTGGTTTCAATTGGCCTGTTCTTGAACTAGTAAAAAGATATGGAGGACCTTTCACCCGTGTGAGAGTATGAGGTTGTGGATGTTGGAACCTACCAGTGTTCTGTGGCTGAGGAAGCACTTATCTTCTAGTAAGATTTAAAAAGAAAAAAAAAATTCAGAATCTCTTTGCTCCTCTTTGATTTGATTTTAAAGTCAGATATAATCTAGATCTACCTTCTCTATAAAGATGCATTTAATTAGATTTGCTAGTGTGCATTTTTTCTGCCCATGTTGTCAATGTGGTCATGAATTTTTTTAAAAATTCCGTATTTTTAGTGAGATTCTGTCTATTTGTATATATACACATATGTGAAAAGTGAAAGTGTTAGTTGCTCAGTCCTGTCCAAATGTTTGTGACCCATGGACTGTAGCCTGCTAGGCTCCTCTGTCCATGGAATTCTCCAGGCAAGAATACTGGAGTGGATAGCCATTCCCTTCTCTGTGGGATCTTCCCAACCCAGGGATCCAACTCAGGTCTCTTGCATTGCAGGTGGATTCTTTACCATCTGAGCCACCAGGGGAGGCCCACATACAAATACACACACACATATAGATGTATGCATACATATAGATGTATACAGACATATATGATATCTTAAGTTATGAGATATATACATATATCTCACAGATACATATTGAAGATATTGATATATAATAGATATATACTTATCAGATGTAATTAATTCAACAATGAAAGCAATGTTTTGTTCTAGACAGTGCATCTAAGTATTAGGGATATGAAGATGAGTAAGATATACACTATGATAATTAGAGCTTCCCATGTGGCACTGGGAAAAAGCTGGCTTAACACTCAACATTCAAAAAACTAAGATCATGGCATCCAGTCCCATCACTTCATAGCAAATAGGCGAGGAAACAGTGGAAACAGTGACAGGCTTTATTTTCTTGGGCTCCAAAATTACTGCAGATGGTAACTGCAGCCATGAAATTAAAAGACGCTTGCCCCTTGGAAGAAAAGCTGTGACAAACCTAGACAGTGTATCAAAAAGCAGAGACATTACTTTGGTGACAAAGATCCATCATGTCAAAGCTATGGTTTTTCCAGTAGTCATGTATGGGTGTGAGAGTTGGACCATAAAGAAGGCTGAGAGTCAAAGAACTGATGCTTTTGAACTGTGGTGTTTGAGAAGACTTTTGAGAATCCTTTGGTCTGCAAGGAAATCAAGCCAGTCCATCCTGAAGGAAATCAGTCCTGAATATTCATTAGAAGGACTGCTACTGATGTTGAAGCTCCAGTACTTTGGACACCAGATGCGAAGAGCTGACTCATTAGAAAAAACCCTGATTCTGGGAAAGATTGAAGACAGGAGGAGACAAGATGGTTGGATGGCATCACTGACTCAATAGACATGAGTTTGAGCAAGTTCCAGGAGATGGTGAAAGACAGGGAAGCCTGGAGTGCTGCAGTCCATGGGGTTGCAAAGAGTCGGACACGACTGAGTGACTGAACAACAAGTGACACTAGTGGTAAAGAATCTGCCTGCAGTGCAGGAGACATGAGAGACGTGGGTTCAGGCCCTGGGTCAGAAAGATCCCCTGGAGGAGAGCATGGCAACCCACTCCAGTATTCTTGCCTGGAAAACTCCATGGACAGAGGAGCCTGGTGGGCTACAGTCCATAGGGTCACAAAGAGTCAGACATGATTGAACTGACTTAGCATGCACATGTTAATTAGGAACAAAGCAAGTACACAAAACATTATGAAATAATACATCATGAAAGAAAAGTCAGCTAGAGGAAGAAATTTACAGATGGAAAGGTGAGCTTTGGGAATGTTACAGTTTTCAGTCAGTGAGACAGATGGAAATGCCTGAAAATGTCTTCTCAACTATTGTTTCACCCTTGTTATTCTATGTTAGGTGAATTGTACTGTTTTTCCTGAATTGGATGCATAGTGTCTTATTTCCACAACTGGGAGTATTCCCAAGGCAGGAAATCAAATCAAGGTTTGATTTCCAGAGGATATAACTGTTAAGTTGCATCTTGAAAGTTATAGGTATGTCAGCATTAACTACATATATGTCCCACGTGGTATATTTTCATCTTCTCCCAACATTTACTATAATTTTGTTAGAAATATTTGCCTCTGTCAGTGACTGTTTTCTGTCATCTGGAAAGAGGTAAGGGTGAATCGTGATCCAAGGGGACTCTCACAACTCTTTTGGCCTTCAAGAATCCAGCATCAGAGTTGAAAAAATAACTTGGAATTGCTTTGAATCATTTGTTCACTGTGAGGCTTTGGGCAAGTTATTGAACCTCTCTGAGTTTCGGTTTCCTTCATCTACCTGACAGGATTAAATTAAATGAAATAATGTGTGCCAAACTCAGGGCCCGTGTACTCAGCCCTTAAGTCATGTTTCTTTTCTTCCTTTAGTTCACAAAGGGCATCTCTTGTATATGGTAGATCATGATTACCTCTAGATTTTCTGCACATAGTGGGGTTTGTTGCACTTGAGAGGTAGGCTTGTAGAGTAAGGTTAGTCTAAAGATTCATGAGGGTGTCTGAGGTCCAGTTTTATGATTTTTTGCCCTATTTTGTACTTACTTAATCCAGAAGAAGCTCTAATACTTTGGCCACCTGATATGAAGAGCCAACTCATTGGAAAAGACCCTGATGCTGGGAAAGGTTAAAGGCAAAAGGAGAAGGGGGCAACAGAAGATGAGATGGTTATATAGCAACACTGACTCAATGTACATGAACTTGAGCAAACTCTGGGACATAGTGAAGGACAGGGAAGCCTGACATGCTGCAGTCCTAGGCACTGCAAGGAGTTGGACACAACTTAGCGACTGAACAACAATCCAGAAAAAAAAAGTCTACTATAATGCCAAATTTCCTAGGAAGTGTCTGCTGTTGGGCTGCTTGAAACCAATGATGTGCACACATGGGAGGAAAATGCATTGTAAAATCTGAAGGAACACTATGCATTTTTGTTTTACAAGGTTTAAAGGAGCATAAATCAATTTTCTAGATATGCAGGCAATCCTATTAATAGACATTGATTAAGTCAAGTGCTGTGCTTTGAAATGATATCAAATTGAAGATCCCAGCCCTGGCAAGGTTTATGAACTTGTTGGAGAGACCAAACACATAAACATGAAGCAACCACATCACGGTTAGACTCAATCTCAGGAAGTAAATATAAAGCAACAGGGCTTGAGCCCGTAAGTACTGAGGAAAGGCAGGATACAGGTTTGGGTAGGGATTTAATATAGTTCTTGGAGACTTAGACTCGTGGTTTGACTGGTTCATAAAACACTATCATTTAAAGACAGACAGAAAGTTTTTTTAAAAAGCAACTTAAAATGTTCACTTCCTATAGAAACCTAAGAACAGCCTGCAGTTGCTCTTAACTTATTTGAAATAAATGCATCTTTCTAAATTGTTAGCGTTCAGGCTGATTTCCTTTCAGACTCTCCCTCCACACCATGCCAGACTGCTCCTGCCCAAATTCGTTCTTTGTCTGCGGGATGTGGAATATCCTTATAAATCATAACAAGTTACAGGGAGAGTAAAAATCCCAGCTAGAGACTTACCTCCAAAGTTGAGGCATGTCCCATATTTTATTAAAATGGCGGTGGATTTAGGAACCAAGATTAAGGCCTTTGTCTCTTTATTTGAAGAAGATTTATATTCAGAGCCTTCCGAGGGTGAGCCCGGATCCTCTGACCTGTACTGGTCCTCTGGTCCCTCCCCACATCCCAGCTCCCCATATGAAATACGGTCGGGAAGCAGAACAACAAAACCATTAACTTAATAGCATAGAATTTATGGCTGAAATCTTGCAAAGCTTGTGTCAGCAGAAGAAAATAATTACTGTCACTTTCTTTGAGACACTTGGCTTTATGGTTCCTGTCACCTTTATCAAAACACATGGCTGATTTAGTAGCTCTATTTTTCATGGCAAATGGCCTGGTGTTACTTCTTTATGCATGTGGCCGTGCCCATGAGATGACAATACTTGTGTAGACTGGAGTGGGACTCAACTTAGATAGTGAATTGGGATACTGTTAATAGTGTGGGTTTAGTCCTGCTGTCAGTATGCCAGTTGAGCTTTTTCTCTTGCCCTTTCCTCCTCTAGATTCTCAAATCCAAAGATTTAACATCTCCAACCCAGCGCTACATCGATAGCAAAGTCGTGAAAACCAGAGCAGAGGGCGAATGGCTCTCCTTCGATGTCACCGATGCTGTTCACGAATGGCTCCACCATAAAGGTGACCACTGCTCTCTGTTTTCCTCCTTTGATGTTCAGTGATCCTAAATTATTTACAAAGCACTGGCAGGTGGAGGGGTATTAGATGCCCAGAAAAATGACCTCCTCGACTTCATGTTTTCCAGACAGGAACCTGGGATTTAAAATAAGTTTACACTGTCCCTGCTGCACCTTTGTGCCATCGAATAATTACATCATCCCCAATAAAAGTGAAGAACTAGAAGCACGATTTGCAGGTAAATGAAACTTGGGCAAAGGAGGTGGGGGAGGGAAGGCCTCTGTCGATAATCTTCTGGGGGAATGAGGTCAGTTTGCATGTGAAAATGAGATTGCAATTGTTTGGTCATTTGGTCAAAGCTATCGTTGGGGTAAGATCCATGAGGGCAGAAAGGGATTGGTTTCCAGTTTACATTGCTCAAAGCATAGTGATGACTTGGCAATACTAATTGACAGACTTACCAGCCTTCCAGACTCTTAAAGAACCTGTTAAGCCCTTCATTCTTCATTTAAGCAAACCAGCATTCCCTCAGTGCTAATGTTATAGAAGAAAAAGATAGCATGCATTCAAGTACATCCATTGATAATGCTCCCAAACCCAACATCAGGAATCCACCACTGGATTTCTCAGAATGACGTCGCCTCCTGCCACAGCCTCTATAACTAACCTGATCTGTGTCAGAACACACCCCCTTTGCTGGCTGATGCCCAGTATTCCAAGTGGCTTCCTTATCAGGCTTTCATAATACATTTGTAAACACAGAACAGAGTTTTAGTTGCCCCCCCCCCCCAGTCTTGCTCACCTTTTAGTGAATTAGCCAAAAGTCAAAGGGGATGAGGAGATACCAAGGGTTCAAGTCATGTCTTCCACTAGATTACAAGTCATTGGATGATGAGAGGAGCAGAGGGTCTGGACCAATTGCGGGTGCAGCACTTGCTCCATACCACCAGGTTAGGGAGCTGATCGCCCTTCCCTAACTAACCCCACCGGGGACCTCCATCCCTTGGCCAAAGGCTCCAATGGCCCTTGCTCATGGAAAAATCCTCCCAGAAGTCTAGAGATTTATTTCAGTCTCTAACCTAGTCATGATTCTTGAGAAGTACAGAGATTAAATGCTTAAGCTGGCAGTCTCTTGAGCATGCTCTGGGAAGCTCGGGTTTCTCCATCTCAGATGGAATCAGGAAAGTGTTGAGGATGCCATAAAAATCAATGAAAAAGCCCTTTCTTCACAGCTTCCCCAAACAGCATTAGGTAAGGGTGACTTCTGTTTCACTTGAACCTCATTCACTGCAGTTTAGTGTGAGGCTCCGTTTAGGTTCATGAGGAAAGTCTTTGAGTTGACCAGTCCTGGGAAGAGAGGCACCCAGCGGGTGACAAGGCATGTTCTATAGCCGTGTCATCAGTCGTCGAAGGCTTGGGCACAGCCTCTGCTGAGGACTGACTGAACTACTGAGAAAGAGTGCCCTTGGACTAGAGGTCAAAGACTCCTTCTGTAGTGACTTTCATAACCAATTCGCCCTGCCTTGGACACTGAGCTGCCTTCTGACAAGAGCCCCATTTAGCCGTGTTCCTTGTCACCGGTACTCGTCCCATCCGTTGCTGTGGGGAGTGAGCCCACTGCTGCTGCTGCTGTGTGGTCATCACTGCTGTTTGTGGCAATAGACAAAGGGGGGAAAAAAAGGTATGGCTGATTCTACTTGATGAAGGTAAAGCTAAATGTTTATTACCCGAATGCATTTTTTCAAGGTATTGATGGCACCTCTACCTATACCAGTGGTGATCAGAAAACAATAAAGTCCACTAGGAAAAAAACCAGTGGGAAGAGCCCACATCTCCTGCTAATGTTGTTGCCCTCCTACAGACTTGAGTCCCAACAGTCCAACCGGCGGAAGAAGCGTGCCCTGGATGCAGCCTATTGCTTTAGGTAAAGGAAATAAAAAGAAAACAAAAAAGGAATTGTGTTTCTGTTTAACTCCTATCCTGCCTTCGCCTTTTGTTTTACTGAAAATGGACTTGAACTGTAACTCGTTGCTTAAAGCCAGGGATAGAAAAATAGAGCCATCGTATTTTGAAACACCAGAGGTTTGAGCAGTTATNAAAGGAAATAAAAAGAAAACAAAAAAGGAATTGTGTTTCTGTTTAACTCCTATCCTGCCTTCGCCTTTTGTTTTACTGAAAATGGACTTGAACTGGAACTCGTTGCTTAAAGCCAGGGATAGAAAAATAGAGCCATCGTATTTTGAAACACCAGAGGTTTGAGCAGTTATTTCTGTGCTGTCTTCATCAGTTCTTTAACAGCAAACCCACTGTAAAGGGAGAAAACTAGCCCCTTGAGTTTCACCCCAACCCCAAGTCTCTCTGAAGCACTTTGAGGCTGAAGGAGAAAAGGTACTCTCGACTCCCAAAGCAAAGATAGGTTTATTTGCGGAGCATGATGGTGGCTCCCTAACTGGGGAGACTCGCCATCTGAAGGAGCCTTTCCTCTCCCTGCAGGGTGTGCATGCATGCGTGTGTGCTAAATTGCCTCAGTCCTGCCTCAGTTCTGTGTGATCCTATGGACTGTAAGCCCGCCAGGTTCCTCTGTTCATGGGATTCTTCAGGCAAGAATACTGGAGTGGGCCACCATGCCTTCCTCCAGGGGGTCTTCCCGACCTAGGGATTGAACCTGCATCTCTTACATCTTCTGCATTGGCAGGCAGGTTCTTTATCATCCATGCCACCTGGCAGGGTACCCATGGTCAGATCTCCTTCACAGACAGTAACAGTGATGAGGGAGATAGAATAAAAGTGCTATTTTTTGTGTCTTTGGCTACAGAATACGAGAGAAGGGGGAGTAACATAAATTTATCTCCTATTCCCACATGAGTTCATGGAGGGAAAGTGTGAATGTCCTTCTGTGGTTTCTTAGTGAGCCTGGTAAGAGAAAGGCTCTTTCTTTATGTCATGAGCTATGGGGTGGTGAGAGGTCCTCACTGATAAAGTGCAAGAAAAAGAGTGTTTTTTGTTTGCTAGAGCCAGTGGTTGCACTAATAAGCAAGACTCTGTGTTTCTTGATCTCTGGTTTATCCCTAGATCCAGGGCCAGGAAATGAAATAAAGGATTTTTTCTCAAAGGAAAATGCCTGAGATGGTTCTCTGTAAATAGCTGTTGTACTTCATTTTGCATTTGAAAAGGCAATAGAGGCTGGATGGTAAAACGGTGCTTTGTAGGTTGGAAGGGGCTTGGTCTCCGTCTGCCACCTTTCTGCTTATGTCTCATCCTTCAAGGGAAGGGTTTGGTTTTTGAGGACACAGGTAAGAGGGTCAGAGTATAGAACTCCCAAGGGAAAGCAGTCCAGCAAAGCACCATCACACTCCATTATGAAAGTCTCTGAGATTGCTGTACAACCATTAAAACCTTGTCTGTGATATATGCTCATATATGTATGTATGAAAGTCACTCAATTGTGTCCGACTCTGTGACTCCATGGACTGTAGCCTGCCAGGCTCCTCTGTTCATGGAATTCTCCAGGCCAGAATACTAGAGTGGTAGTTGTTCCCTTCTGCAGAGGATCTTCTCAACCCAGGAATCAAACCCAGGTCTCTTGCATTGCTGGTGGATTCTTTACCAGCTGAGCCACCAGGGAACCCCAATGCTCATATTTATTTGTTGAATAAACAAATGAGTCGTTTCTCTGGTTTGGAATAAGGGACCTGGAGTGGGACGAAAATCAGCTTTAAAATCTCCATTGCTCTTTCTTTTATCAGAAATGTGCAGGATAATTGTTGCCTACGCCCACTTTACATTGATTTCAAGAGGGATCTTGGGTGGAAATGGATTCATGAGCCTAAAGGGTACAATGCCAACTTCTGTGCTGGAGCGTGCCCATATCTGTGGAGCTCAGACACTCAGCACAGTAGGGTAAGTATAGGCTTCACTTGTCTCTTCATTCTTGGGCTGCTGATTGTAACTGCTGATAGTTTTACTGAATAGCCTGGTGCCCTTTTGTCATCACACATAAATGGATGCTGGAGAAACCCTTTTGAATGATGAGAAAAAATTCGGGCTGTAGGTGAACTCAGAAAGCAATACTTATGAGTTTAGACAGTAGGTCTGGCCTTTCCAATTAGCCTGTAAGCAACCTGAGGACAATTTTAATTTTCTCTTTGTTTTAAGTTCTTAACAGCTGTAAGCATAAATAGGTGGAATCAATATCTTACTAAGTGTCAGATACTGTTAAAATGTGCAGGGACCCAGTTCTCTAGCTGAAAAAAGGATGTGTTATCACCCCAGTCGGGGCTATCATGCTAGAAAGAACACTGACGACTTCAATAGATGCTTTGGTGGACTGATTCAATATTGTTGTTGTTGTTCAATCACTAAGTCATGTCTGACTCTTTGCGACCGCATGGACTGTAGCCAGTCAGGCTGTCTGTCCATGGGATTTCCCAGGCAAGAATACTGGAGTGGGGTGCCATTCCCTTCCCAAGGGATCTTCCTGGATCAGGGATCGAACCCACATCTCCTGCATTGGCAGGCGGGTTCTTTGTCACTGAGCCCCCAGGGAAGCCTGAGTGATTCACTTGCTTGCTTGTTAAGTTGCTTCAGTCGTGTCCGACTCTGTGTGACCCCATGGACTGTAATCCTCCAAGCTCCTCTGTCCATGGGATTCTCCAGGCAAGAATACTGGAGTGGGTTGCCATGCCTTCCTCCAGGGGATCTTCCAGACCCACGGATCAAACCCGTGGTTCTTAAGTCTCATCTCCTGCATTGGCAGGCGGGTTCTTTACCACTAGTGCCACCTGATTCACTAGTGTATGACAATTATGAAATTATTTAACTTCTTTGAACCTCAGTTTCTTATCAGTTAAAAGAATAAAAATTATTTTTTTTTGAAATAATAATGTCCAACTCTAGATGTGAAAAACATAAGATGATATACGTGACAATGATTTCAAAAATCAGTATCCCTAAGTCTTTTTGAATATAACCTAGAATAAATGAGAATCTGAAAATTTTATTAAGTTACTTTGATGAGGAATGAAGTCTCATTCAGAAGTCAGGTCCCAGAGTAGATGCCATGAGTTTCCAGCCCAGATTAACCAAGACTTTTTCTGTGTAATGATGATATTTTTCCAAATGCTTCTTTCCTGGTGCCTCATCGTGAAGAATTTTAGAGGTGGAAAGGACTTGATAAGTTATTTTGTCCCACCCTGTGGTACTATCCATAAAACAGATAAATAACAAAGACCTACCATACAGCACAGAGAACTGTGCTCAGTATTCTCAGTATTTTATAATGACATATAAGAGAAAAGAATTGGAAAAAGAATACACACACACACACACACACACACACACACACATATATATATAAAAGGTTGACCAAAAAGTTCATTCAGATCTTTCCATAACATCTTAACCCCAGTGATTTTTTTTTGGCCAGCTCAATACATATATATGTATAACTGAATTACTTTTCTGTCCATCTGAAACTAACGTAGCATTTTAAATCAACTGTATTCAAGAAAAAACAAAATAATCATAAGATAAAATACAAAAAATGGGTTATATTGTCCAAACCATTCATTTTTCTAAAAAAATCAGAGTCTATATCATGTAGATGACTTACCCAGGGTCAAAACAGTTGGTGGCAAACCAAAGCTTAGGACGCAAGACTCCTGGTTTTATAAGCAGGCCTTCATCTGCTCTGTCTGGGCTACACATTGGGGTTATGCCTCTGTAAATCTTCTTATTAAAGGAGCATTAGAAAAATTGCCTTTCACTGCAGGGTAGGAAAATGAATCTGCTGCCAAAAAGAGATCGCATAATGCGTTCAGCTGAATTCGAGAGTTTGGGGAATATCCATTATTTTGGACAATCTGTCTTAGAAAATTCCTCTTGTATTCAGTGGAAGAATCACGTGTTGGTGGAGGATAAAGTCTATTTATTGATAAATGCTTACGTCCACAAAACTTTCAGTTGACAAACACGGCCCCCCTTCCTTCAGCTGTTTTGCCGACTACCCTGGAGATTTTTGGCTCTCGGGACTGACCACGTGGTTGGCCATGTGAGGGAAGCTTGCTCCTGCCTGTCCCTTTGTCTGAGCTCTCAGGCCAGGCTGTTTCAGCTGGGCTGTGGCAGCAGTAGCCGTAATGTGGGAAGGCCCAGTTGCCAAGTAGAAACATAATTCTCCTTCTTGATACACAGAGGGAGTGTGTGAAGGCTGAGACCATGCTTGTTTTTCAAGGAGAGAGGAAGAATCACTGTCATGATCACAAATATGTGGTTTGGACAGTTACCCAAAAAGCCAGAGGTAGCTTAATAAAGTAGTCAGTGTTGGTGTGCTGAACAGATTTTCTGTCTTAGGCTGAAAATGTTGCTGTGGATCTCGAGGAAAAGGTCACTTGCTGTTTGACTAACACATTAATGGCATCCTTGGAAAGGTCTCTTTATCATCACTGAGGATGCGCCATACTTCTGTTGGTAGAAGTCATGTGCTCTTTTGATAGAGGACAGGGTTAAAGGTACAGCACAAACTGTAGAACTTCCTTTTCATTCTGTTTTCAGACTGGCTATCCACCCCTCCAACTTACCAATTACCATTTACCACATGAAAAGTTAAATGGAGGGTTGATTATTATTATTATGTTTTTATTATTAACATCATTGTTATAAGCAAAATGTAACCAACTGGATAATTAAGAACATAGATTGTTTCTGAGGGTATTTTTTCACATGCTTGTATTTATGAAGCAATGACAAATGAAAAAAATTTGAACTTTTTTTTCTTTTAAATGAAAATTTTAGGTGACATTAAATTGGCCTGAGAAGACACTCAGTGTAGAAATATTTCACACTGCAGAAAGGTGTCTTTTGCTCTACCTAAGGATAGATTAGCATTCTGCTAAGAATTTTAATAAAGAAAAATTTATTCTCTTACTTATTTGTGTATTTGTTTCTTCACCTAGCACATGAGTCTTATTTTGTCCAGAGAAGACTTACTAGGGCTATAAGGTTTAAAAAAAAAAAAATGAGGTGTGTAGAGTCCCTGACTCAAGGGAACTCTTCATCGGGTGGGAATTGAAAACATCTACTCATGAAAGAACTTCAGTTATGAAGCAGTGTAGTGCTGGCTTGTGCTTAGTCACTCAGTCGTGTCCATCTCTTTGTGACCCCATGGACTGTTGCTCGCTAGGCCCCTCTGTCCATGGGGATTCTCCAGGCAAGAATACTGGAGTGGGATGCCATTCTCTCCTCCAGGAGATCTTCCCAACTCAGGGATTTTCCAGGTCTCCCAGCTGCCAAAAAGAGATCGCATAATGCGTTCAGCTGAATTCGAGAGTTTGGGGAATATCCATTATTTTGGACAATCTGTCTTAGAAAATTCCTCTTGTATTCAGTGGAAGAATCACGTGTTGGTGGAGGATAAAGTCTATATTTATTGATAAATGCTTACGTCCACAAAACTTTCAGTTGACAAACACGGCCCCCCTTCCTTCAGCTGTTTTGCCGACTACCCTGGAGATTTTTGGCTCTCGGGACTGACCACGTGGTTGGCCATGTGAGGGAAGCTTGCTCCTGCCTGTCCCTTTGTCTGAGCTCTCAGGCCAGGCTGTTTCAGCTGGGCTGTGGCAGCAGTAGCCGTAATGTGGGAAGGCCCAGTTGCCAAGTAGAAACATAATTCTCCTTCTTGATACACAGAGGGAGTGTGTGAAGGCTGAGACCATGCTTGTTTTTCAAGGAGAGAGGAAGAATCACTGTCATGATCACAAATATGTGGTTTGGACAGTTACCCAAAAAGCCAGAGGTAGCTTAATAAAGTAGTCAGTGTTGGTGTGCTGAACAGATTTTCTGTCTTAGGCTGAAAATGTTGCTGTGGATCTCGAGGAAAAGGTCACTTGCTGTTTGACTAACACATTAATGGCATCCTTGGAAAGGTCTCTTTATCATCACTGAGGATGCGCCATACTTCTGTTGGTAGAAGTCATGTGCTCTTTTGATAGAGGACAGGGTTAAAGGTACAGCACAAACTGTAGAACTTCCTTTTCATTCTGTTTTCAGACTGGCTATCCACCCCTCCAACTTACCAATTACCATTTACCACATGAAAAGTTAAATGGAGGGTTGATTATTATTATTATGTTTTTATTATTAACATCATTGTTATAAGCAAAATGTAACCAACTGGATAATTAAGAACATAGATTGTTTCTGAGGGTATTTTTTCACATGCTTGTATTTATGAAGCAATGACAAATGAAAAAAATTTGAACTTTTTTTTCTTTTAAATGAAAATTTTAGGTGACATTAAATTGGCCTGAGAAGACACTCAGTGTAGAAATATTTCACACTGCAGAAAGGTGTCTTTTGCTCTACCTAAGGATAGATTAGCATTCTGCTAAGAATTTTAATAAAGAAAAATTTATTCTCTTACTTATTTGTGTATTTGTTTCTTCACCTAGCACATGAGTCTTATTTTGTCCAGAGAAGACTTACTAGGGCTATAAGGTTTAAAAAAAAAAAAATGAGGTGTGTAGAGTCCCTGACTCAAGGGAACTCTTCATCGGGTGGGAATTGAAAACATCTACTCATGAAAGAACTTCAGTTATGAAGCAGTGTAGTGCTGGCTTGTGCTTAGTCACTCAGTCGTGTCCATCTCTTTGTGACCCCATGGACTGTTGCTCGCTAGGCCCCTCTGTCCATGGGGATTCTCCAGGCAAGAATACTGGAGTGGGATGCCATTCTCTCCTCCAGGAGATCTTCCCAACTCAGGGATTTTCCAGGTCTCCCAGAATTGCAGATGGATTCTGTAGCTCAGTTGGTAAAGAATCCACCTGCAATGCAGGAGACCCCAGTTCGATTCCTGGGTTGGGAAGATCTCCTGGAGAAGGGAAAGGCTACCCACTCCAGATTCTGGCCTGGAGAATTCCATGAACTGTATAGAGTTGCAAAGAGTCAGACATGACTGAGCTACTTTCACTTCACTTCACTTCACTTCTTTACCATCTGATCCACAAGGGAATCCCAAGAATACCGGAGTGGGTAGCCTATCCCTTCTCCAGGGGAACTTCCCAATCCAGGAGTCAAACTGCATTGCAGGCAGATTTACAAGACCAAATGCCAAGTTTGGTATTTGGACCTAGTTTTCTGAGGGCCTGGGAAGTGCAGATAGCAAAGCTATGCTCAAAGTAAAGACTCATTGGAAAAACTGGAAAATCTGTTGAATGAGCAATTTTGTCCAATGTATGAAAAAAGGATTCTGTGAAAATGATAAATTCAGGGATTCTTGGGGATGCCTCCCCATTTGACTATAATTGGAGAAAAAGTAAAGTGTAAGCCCCAAATCATTTAAATTGCCTACTCAGTACTGGAACTGATGACATTGTGCAGTGGTTCTATTTAAAAATATCTGCCTTAGTTTTTTAAGGAATCTCCACACTGTTCTCCATAGTGGTCAGGATGGAGGGGACACATGTATGCCTATGGCCAATTCATATTGATAATTCATATTCATATTGTATGCAAAAACCATCACAATAATGTAAAGTATTCTCCAATTAAATAAATAAATTTAAAAAATAACTACGCTTATTTTTGTTTGGGCCTTTCCTATGTTTTCTTTCTTCTCCTGCGTTCTTTCAGGTTCTCAGCTTATATAATACCATAAATCCAGAAGCGTCTGCTTCCCCTTGCTGCGTGTCCCAAGATTTAGAGCCGCTCACCATTCTCTACTACATTGGCAAAACACCCAAGATCGAACAGCTTTCTAATATGATTGTCAAGTCTTGCAAATGCAGCTAAGATTCTCAGAAAAGTGACAAGACGATAATCGCACGATGATGATGGTGATGATGGTGACAAAGGCAATGTTTGTAACAAGAAAACACAAGAGAGCCTTGCTTCATCAGTGTTAAAAAAAAAATTGAAAAAGCGGTACTAGTTCAAACACTTTGGAAGTTTGTGTTCTGTTTGTTAAAACTGGCATCTGAAATGAAAAAAAAGTTGAAGGCTTTACTCTATATTTTACCTACTCTGTAAGTGAGAGAGACAAGAAGCAAAACCTTTTTTTTCTTAAGAAAAAAATAAACACTGGAAGTATTTGTTAGTGTTAATTATGTGAAAGAAAAAAAACAAACAAACAGGAAAATCCCGTTCAGTGGAGTTGCTGTACATATGTTCTTATCCCATGCCTCACTTGATTTTTCTGTATTGCTATGCAATAGGTATCTTTCCCATTCTTACTCTTAGAGTTAACAGTGAGTTATTTATTGTGTTACTATATAATGAACATTTCATTGCCCTTGGAAAATAAAACAGGTGTAAAAAAAGTGGAGACCAAATACTTTACCAGAAACCCGTGGATGACTTAAGGAACTTGAACTTAAACGGGCCAGCAAAAAGGTCATATTAACAAGATGAAAGATGCAAGTGAGATCTATTATATGACCAAGCGAGTCTGCATAAAGAGAAAGACCCTGCAAATACATGCTCTGTACCAACTGCCCGAGGAAGCTTCTTGTAAGGTTCAAAACTGAAAAGCCTGTTAATAAAGGAAACTTTCAGTCAGATTAAGTCTGTAAGATTTTTTTGTTCTCTTTAATTGTAAATGGTTTTTGTCAGTTTAGTCAACCAGTGAGACGTTGAGATGTTTAGATACGTACTGGTCAAACTTCAGACCTTAAAGTATTGCTGTGTAGCTGCGCTCTAGATTTTTCTTTCGTTTCGGTGTATGTAACCATACCTATATTATTACAATAGATGGGTATAGAAGCCAGTATAATTGGAAACACAACTGCAGATCTCTTTTGCAAATGATGAAATCAAAACATTAACTACTTTATGTGTAATGTGTAAATTTTTACCATATTTTTTTAATGTTCTGTAGTAACACCAACTCTGATTTAGATTGGACTTAAATTTGGGCTCTTTCTCATGATTGTTGGGAATTGTGTGTTTCCTTTAGCTGGCCAGAACTTTTGAATAAAGCCCCAGTATTTCGACTTGCACTACAAATACATGTTTGATAGTATTTGTTCCACTTGTGCTTGTTCATTGTCCATTATTATGACATAAACTACCTGAGTCCACTTGTCCTTTTTTTTTTCTTTTATAAAAAGACATAGTTTTCCTTCATTTTCTAAGCATCATTACTAATCAGTTCAGACATTAACAAGCTTCTATTTTAGGAAAATTGGGGATTATAGATACATAGATAATTGAAGTGAAATGTTTTAGTTTTAGCAAGGGCTTAAGGATCTGACTGGAACTCAGAGTCTTAGTGACTGGTTTAAGAAAGGTGTCTCTAACTTGGTTTAATCAGTATTTTCACAGAATTCTGCTGTTTAAAAAAAAGCAGACAGATCACAGGAAACAGCTTTTTCTTTAATCTAGTTTTTAGTGTTCAGGGAAAAATGGAAAGATTAACATTTTAGTTGATGTTTTTAAGGAAGAAAAAATAAACCCATGTCAGCATAAGTCATTTAGTGTATTTCACTGAAATTAAGGTTTTTATAGATGTTCTTTGAAGGTTGAAAAGGCACAGGGCAAATTCTCCCATGATCAAAAAGTCCTTTCTTTCCTCTGAATGTGACTTACCAAATCAGAGGCTAGAATTTACCTTGCTGAAATACATGATTTGCTACATTTTTGCAGAGGAGGTAACCTTGGGTTTGTAGGATATGTCAGTTTGTCAGTTGTCACTTATTTAGCTTTAGAATAATCATTAATAGTAAGACAATGGAATATTTGCAGTTTTACCTAAAGAGCAGCACAGTGAGGTGTGAATCCAGAGTGAAGTTGTTTGATATAGAATTTTTCTTGGAATTTCCTGGCCATTATTAAAATGACAAATTGGATTTGTTTGAAAACTGGAAAAGCAAGAGATAGGATGCCACAATACCAAACAACCTTTGGATTGGGTGAAACCCAATCCCAGATTGGAGTGTGTTGATTTTTTTTTTTCTCTTCCACTCTTCTATTCATTCTATGTAAATCACTTTTATTTCTGCAGGTATTTTCTTTTCAGATAGAATGACATTTTGTTTTGTATTATTTTGTCTTTCCTCATGAATGCACTGATAATATTTTAAATGCTCTATTTTAAGATATCTTGAATCTTTTTTTTTTTTTTTTTTAGTTTGGGGGGTTCTATAAGGCCTTTATTTCCCATAAGTAAATATTGCCATGAGACGGGAGGGAGGTGGGAGGGAATGGGGAAAATGTTAGTATGTGGGTGGGATGGGGCTACAGTTTTTCTGTGTTAAACAGCAATGCAGTTTTATGGTTGGCATGATTTTTTTTTTTTAAATGGAACATAAGAATAGCTGTTTTGTATTTTGATGACTGATTACGCTGTATTTTAACACAATGTATGTCTGTTTTTGTGGTGCTCTAGTGGTAAATAAATTATTTCAATGATATGTCGATGTGTTTTTCCTGTCCATTGTGGAGATCAGAGAACGCTTCTAATGCAGAGAGCGTAAGCTCAAGCTAAAAAAGTCATACCAGCTTTAAGATCGTGCTTTTTTTTTTTCTCTCAAAGAGATTCAGTCCAGAGATGTCATACTTTATAGTTCAAGAGCCAGGATGTATCTATCAAAGCCTGAAGAAAGCCCTGTGCAGTCTTTTTATTCCCTTGTTTATTGCTATTTGGTAATTGTTGGAGATTTAGTTTCCATCCAGCTTGACTGTCTACCAGAAAAAAATGCAGAGAGATGTTTGGACCATGCCTTGGCTTTCTGATCCTATGTTCTGCCAACCCCAGGGCCAAAAGAACTGGTCTAGACAGTATCCCCTGCAGCCCCATAACTTGGATAGTTGCTGAGCCAGCCAGATATAACAAGAGCCATGTGCTCTTCGGGATTGATCGTTGAGAGCAGCTACTCCTCTCTCTATTTCTCCCCTACCGCTGTACCAAAAACCCCTTATTCCCGCAAGCTTCCTTGGCTGTTCCCTACAAGACCAGACTTTGCAAGCAAGTTGCCAGTCTCTTAATAAATAGAACTAATTAAAAAAAAAAAAGTCATTGTGGCTGTATCTGATTGCCCGCTTTATCTCATGAGAGAACTAGTTTGTGCCTGTTGTCTAAAAACATCACCTAGAAACAAACCATCCATTCAGGTGAATAGGTAGAACAGAAGATGGTTCCTTTCCTGCCATTTGTGTTTCATCTTTTATATTCAACTCATAGAGGAAGTGTTTCACTTTGAAATAATTCGTGTGTGCTCTGCAGGGGGCTAGTACCAGGCCAGTACCACCCCACATCACCTTTATCTGACACGTGAGAATAAGAAAGTATCATAGGGTTCTGAAAAGAGTCACCTAAGAGCTATATCAACTTGGACAAATTTGTCAGCCACTCTGAGCCTCTGTTTCCTTATCTTTAAAATGAGGATGAGATGACCTGCTTTACAGGGCTTTGCATGTTTGTTTCTGTGCCCTTCCTATTTTTAAGTAAATGGACGTCCAAAAAGTACTTTGGTGTTTGGCCTGTAGTTGATGGTCAGTAAATCATAGTCTTAACAACATTTCCCAAACCGAGCTGGTTTGGGCTCTGCAATCCTGTTGTAATGAACTTTTTTAACGTCTGTTCAGACTTTAAGTTGGGGCCATATTTCTTCATCTTGTTACTAACTGTGTAACCTCTAGACCCTAATCTCCTCAATGAATTAAGCCATCAGTCAATTCAGAGAATATTCTGTCACTCTGTTTCTTAACTGTTTGGTCACATGACTGACTAGAAATTGTTTCAGCTGGTGGGGAAATGTTCAGGTAAGACTCTGCTTCCAATCCACCAACTGAATTCAAAATAAGAAAGTCAAGGTGGTTAGTTGAAGGGCCCGTTTTCTAAGATGATGGTTGTGAGAACTCCAGTTTGTTGAGCACCCACCAGCTATGTTCTCTGTTATCTTACTTAATCTCACATATCACCCTAGGATGTAGGGTTTTTTGATAGAATTCCATTTTACAGAGAGGTAAGCAGACTCAGAATGGTTAAATGACATGTCCAAGGTCACCCAGTTTGTAAGAGGAAGGTTGAGAACTTCATTGTTCAATACACTAGCTACTAGCCATGTGTAACTTTCAAGCAATTGAAATATGGTGAATCTGAACTGAGTTATTCCAAGGTATAATATACAAACCATTCTTTGAAGACTTAGGACAAAAAAGAAAGAATGTAAAATGTCTCATTACTTTTTTATATTGATTACATGTCTGAATAATACTATTTTGAATATATGGGATTAAATAAAGTATATTATTGAAATTATTTCACCTGTTTCTTTTTATTTTTTTAATACAATTATTAGAAAATTTAAACTTACACATGGGACTTGTACCCTATGTTCTATCTCTCCAGAATTTCTTTTTGATTCTTAGAACTTCCCCATCTCTCTCTTACTCTGCCCATCTCTTCTTGCATGCCATCTACTTTATCCATTAGAGCCCTTTGCATATTGTTGTTGTTCAGTCACTAAGTTTTGTCTGACTCTTTTCACCCTCATGGACGGCAACACGCCAGCCTTCCCTGGCATATTAATCCTGGTTGTTTTAAATTATAGATCTGGTAATTCCAACATCCCTGCCATGTCTGCAACCATCTGTTTCTTCATCCTTGGAGGGAGGTGGTTTGCCTGGTTTCCTCTTCTCTTTTTTGGATCCAAGAAGATTTGCTGATTTTTTTCAGTCTTTTCAGCTTTTTATTAGTTGTTAGGACAGAGTGGTGACTCCTAAGCTCCTTACACGTGGAGCCAGAAGTTCTTTCTACCTCTGTTAGACAGCTCTCTATTAGAGTAGAGAATAGAAAGGTGTAGAGTTCAATAACAGCTGTGTTCAAAGACTAAGCTATTCCCATAAACTGTGTGACCAGCTTTTGTTTTTGTAATTAACCTATGATTAAACAATACTGAGTCAAACACTATAAGACTGTTTTTGTAGGTTGTGATTTGTTGAATGTTGCCAATTGTTTAGGGTTCAACCTATAAAACCTAGGTTCAACCTAATAGTTGGAACTGATTGACAGATGTATTAATGAAGATACAAATATCGTAGAAACTCTGCTGGCAAAGCTCTAGATAAAATTAATGGTTACATATCAGCAAAGCACTACTAAGACAGTACAGCCTGTTTCTAGGGTAAAGAGACTATTGTGGCAAATATTTTCAGTTCATAGAAATCTTCATTAACATACCTGTAATGATGTTTTCTACTGTGTTGAAGTGGGCTGGGAAAGCCAAATACTCACTGTGCTCCTGCAGGTCACTGAGAAGACATTGCTTTGCTATCCGTGAATAAGCTGTACCACCTTTACTAACAGGTCTTGGAAGGGTGGATCCAGACTTTGTATTCCGGAAGCTTATATAAGGGAGGATTTTGTTTTACAAAAAATTAAAATTGCAAATACAAAAATAGAGTCAGAGCCTTCAAAAAGGTCCATAAAAGTGAGAAGCTAGAACATTTTGAGCTGTAAGAGCTTCACTGAAACTGGCCTTGGGGCTTCGAGCTAGCACATGCCTTTGTTCCTATCAGATGGCCACCTTGTAATTCTAGCAAAAATGAAATCCCATCTCTTTCAATCCTCTGTTAAATCACATCTTGTTGCTGATCAAAGGAGAAAAAGACCGTGGTTTTTCTAACATTCTGGATCAGAGGAATAGAAGTGATGTTATTTTTATACCTCTTTTGAAACACCCTATTAGATTGGAGATACAGTTCATATAAATATCAGGTAGTTGTATCAGGGGATACGAATAACTTCTGAAATTGCAAATTTAAATTAACTTTGTTTGAAAGGAAAGAATTGCTCTGATCTCCTCCCCTCCCCCATTGGGATGATTGTGCCTGTGTCCTTATTTCCCTGAAACACTATGTAGTTGGTTTCTCTATTTCAGCAAATAATGGCTGTTTGGAGAAGAGATGAGTGTGTTCCTGTAATTGGGCAGAGACCTAGTAAAAGGAACAGAATGTCCTGAGGGAGACTGTGTGATCAAAACTAGGAAAATCATTCAGGCCAAGAGAAGAGACATAATTAAACAGCAAAGCAGAACATTAGTGGGCAAGAAAAAGGCCCAATACCATTTCTGAGGCTTTTCCCCCAAAGTGGGATTTTTGTCTCCCATAGATGCCACCCAACTAGAAGGACACAGATGGGTGACTCAGGTGACATTGTAAAGTCTTGGCCAGCCCTAGAGATGGAAACCCTCTCCTCAGGCCCAAATCTCCATTCTGATTCATATAGAAAGTCCTGAATCTCAGGATGTTGGGAGCAAACAAGTTAAGATATTACATAATCCCATTCAGCTCTGAAGTTGATGTGAAGTCATGTAGTTTGGCTTGTCCTCAAGCATGGGTGTAACACTAATTTCTTCATTTGAAGCAAAATTAAGTGAAAGTACAGAAAATGGAGGAGCACTTTCAATCAAGCAGTGGTTGTCCATTTCATGAAGTAATAAATTTTACATCACCAAGTGTGTACATCTTCTACTTGCTCACACCCTGGTGTCCTCCAAAGCCACTGGCTACATTCAGATTCCTACAAAGGTAAAATACAGAGAGAAGGTGGCATAGCAGATCTGAAGAAGACCCAGGGAGGTCTGGCAAACCCTTGACAGCAGGCTCTTACAGTCAACCATGAGGAATTATTCCTATAGAATTTTCCCCAAGGAGATTAGCTAGGTAGGTAGGTAGGTAGATAGATAGATTTTTTTTTTTAACATTTATTTTAATTTTAGAATCCTTATGGGTGTAGTGCAGGAAATAATTCCAACCAAAGGTGCTAGTGAAACAGGGGGGAGGAGGGCAGGGCACAATCTTTAAAAGAATGACAAAGCCCAAGGACACAACGCAAACTAATTAGAAGCAAATAGGTCAAGATGGTGGATGAGTCAACTTCCACTAGATCTTGAGCCTGAGTGTATGCTCATTGTAATACATTAGCATGCTAAATGATACACCCATCAGGCCATGACAGTTCCAAGGCTAATCTTAAAAGAGTGAGTGATGTCCCAATTCCTAGAAATCTCTGCCTCCTCCCCCAAATAATTGGAATAATCTTCCCACTCATTAGTCTATGAAATTACCCAGCCCATAAAAACTAGCCATGTCATATTTCTAAACAGTCTCACTCTCTCCCTTCTTCTGAGATGGCCCGTATTCTGTCTGTGGCGTGTGTTTCTCCTTAAATATATCTGCTTCTTACCTATCACTTCATTTCCAAATTCTTTTGTGACTAAGCAAGAACTTTTAATTTACTGGGAATACTAGGATCGATTCTGATTTATTTCCACTTGATCTGAGATCTGGAATAGTGACACCAGTGAACACTCAGGGCACAGTGAAAGGGGGAGCAGTGAGGAGGGACAAGGAGGTGGACAGGAAAGGGAGGGGGTTACATGGTCACCAGACTTTATGTGTATCACAC